ATCACTTTATTATTGCATCATGATTTAGCGCAATGATGTTTGTCAAAATACATAGTTGCCACCTGAATTCGACGTGCAACGTTTTCAAACAGAAAAAAATATTTATTCATTCAGGAAAAAAACATCGGTAAAAGTAAAGTAACTAATATCACTAAAATCATAGCTAAGAAATTAAAACAAAAGTTTCAATTAATAAATGTATTAGAATTTTTATGTTGGTAGTTTCATGCAGTCATATGTTTCCAATTTTTTCATAAATTTGCGTTTGACAGTATTCATCTTTCAAAATTTAATCGACATACATAACATTTTATGGAATATATTTTATTGGTCTGTTCCCGTACTGCAAGAATCTACTAGTTTTTACTACGATAACGAATTTTTCCTTTGTGATATCGAAGAAAATAGTAAAATCGAGTAGATTCTTGCAGTAGGGGAACAGACCATATATTTGATAACAATTGCTAGCAAATGTTACTAAATCACTAATGCACAAAATAGTACGATAGCGGTGATGGCCAAACACGTTTTCTCTTTGTCTCTCTTTGCGTCAGTGATTTTTGTTAATGATCTCTCAGTTACGCTCTCACGCACTTACTCTTAATTTAGTTCTGTTCAACACTGTACTAAATGTTGTATGTTTACCCCACTAATGCACAAAATAGTACGATAGCGGTGATTCCCAAACACGTTTTCTCTTTGTATCTCTTTGCGTCAGACATTTTTGTTGATGATCTCTCAGTTACGCTCTCACACACTTACTCTTAATTTAGTTCTGTTCAACTCTGGTTTACCCAAAAATCCAGTAAAAGAGAGTAACGAGAGAGAGACAAGTTTGACAGTTCAACAACAAAAATCTTACTGGAGTTTTCTGAACGAATTTTATGGAGTAAATTTTTTCAAACACCAAACATTTCAACTTTAAACTGTGTTGTATAAAAAATTGCAAATAAGAATAAAAACGGCTTATTCTCTGACATAGAACTTACTGAGTAAATGTTAGTCTGCTTTTCCACAGGCAGATTTTTCTTTGGCAAATTTTTTGTTTTCTCTTTTGAAATTTTCGCTTGCTTTTCCATTAGCAAATTTTTCTTTGCCAAATTTGCGAATCAAAATACAAAAGAAAGAAAATAAAAGTCAAAAGTGTTTGCATTTTAAAGATTTAATATTTTATTTATTTTTTATATATTTATTATATAAATTGCAAAAATTAAAAATTAAATTTCACTTGCACAAATTAAAGCAACAGGTTTGTAAACAAAAGCCGGCTGTGTGTCAGTAAAGCGAATAGGTTCAAAAGGAAATGTCAACAAAATTGTTTACAACGAACAGAGCAAAGCAGAATTTGCGTGTACGGCAAATTCTGAACAGGCAAATTTTTGTTTTTCTTCCTCGAACCCCTCTCGTCAACAAACTCAGTATTTGCCAAATAAAAATTTGCTTGTGAAAAATCAGACTTACTGTTTTTCAAAGAAACGTAAGAAATAATTTCGTTTTCATTTAACCGATTTTTTATTATTTAAACGGATTTTCAATTAGAGAGGATAATTTCCAATTAACCAGAGTTTTTAATTAAAAGCGGACTTATATCATGTACTCTCTCAAATAGAACGTACTTTTTGGAAAAGTAAGCAGACACAACTAATTTCTGACCTAATAGAGATCAATTCTTAATTGAATTATAAAATTATTCAATGAAAAATTATCAGAAAAAATATGTACAAATAAAAGCTAACTGGCTGATGTCGATTTTCTTCTCTAGTCTTTTAAAAGGATTACTATAAAAGCGTATAAAATCCTGTACGTGAGAGTAACTGTTGATATTTCGGGCTTATATACGGGCCTTAAAACAAATAAATAAAAATAATTACACGACAGGTACGTTCTTGAAAATTCATATAAATCGAATTGGAAAGATAAATGAAACATTTTATGTAAAAACTTAAATTTAAAAGAACAACAAAAAATTGATTGTAAAATTATTAAAAGGTATTCAATGCACACAAATCGATACATTAATATAATAGTAGTAATGTAGTCATTCAAATTAACAGACCTGATAACGTGAAAACCGTTCTGCAAAAATGTGCTTATTTAACCTTATCATCAAAAGAAACGGTGACAATTTACAAGTACCTCTTATGTCAGCAAATTTTCAAATGGTAACGATATTATTCAGTGTTGAATTATAATTTCCCAACTTAATAATTTTTACCGCTTCAGTTGGTGACAAGGTGAAATAATCACATTTGTTGCAGGACGGTTTTCTCGTAATCAGATTTAAATATGACGTGTACGTATACATGTGGCAGCTATTGTTTTTTGTAGGACTTTTGCTAGTTGGTAACATGTAATAAATTATTGTTATTGACCATCTGCATAGACAAATAAGCTTTTGTTTGGTGGACTTCCTCCTATATGGGTCAACGATACTAAGATTGTGGCTTTATACTTCTTCAATATACAGTATTTTTCGGTTAATTGACACAACGGTTAATTGGTTTCCACGCTTAATTGAACAACATGATGGGACAAAAAATATTTCATAGGAAAACACATGTAAATTTTCTCGGATAATTAAACCCTGTTAATTGATTTTCCCGCTTAATTGGTTCACAATTCATGTCATCAAAAATAAATTTCCTTTTACCTTTCCGCGGTTAATTGCAAAATAATAATTGAAAAATAATCTGGCATTTTTTACATACATATTTGACATAATTTCTGAAAAATACTAGGTGGCATCTCTACTAATTCAAAATATATGTTTATTGCTAAGGAAAAACTGCGAGAAAGCGTAATTTGTAGTAGTTCCAATTATACGTGATTACTGTAATTGAACAAACTATTCAATTAAGCGGGTTCGGATAATTGGTTCCTCGGTTAATTGAATAAAAATTTGTGCAAATTTTGATGTGCAATTAACCGAAAAATACTGTATTTGATATTGAACTTCTGGGGACACTATATTCTTCAGACATCTCTCGTATTGATATTATTAACCCCAACCCGACTTCTTCTCTAGTCATTTCTATTTGCTTGTTTGTGACCGTATATTACAAATCTTTTTATTAAATATTTATTAAAATTAAATCTTAATATTTAGAACTTTTTACCGGGTTAACACACTTTGTGAGGATTTATTTGACATATATGCAAAGGAATTGACAATTGAAACCCACTCGGTTAACGAAATCCGGTTAAATGTAAACGTACTATAACAATCAAGAATTCTTAAACTTTGCGAAAAATATAAGCTATTATAATATAATATAAACTAAATAAAGAGATTACTACATATTTTCACATAGTCAACTTCAGTTGAACACTACTATATATGCAAAGCGGTGTAGGGTATCATACAGCTTTATATGGAAGGAAATATATTATATTATTTTAAATATAAATAAAAATGTACATATAAAATGTATTTTTTATTCCATTAAAAAAAAAATAAAAAAATCGTGACAAAGCGCTAAAAAAGCAGAAGTGAGGTAGGGAACTTTACAGTTTCGAATATCGCCACATATCTTCACTAGCTTCAATTACAATATTCACATTGTAGTAAAAAATACTCTCCAAAGTAGTAAAATAGCGGCAAATCTAAAACAGAGAGATGATGTGCGGATTACTGAATGTTATACTGATTAAAAATGTGTTCCACTGTAGACATAAATGAGATAATGATTTGAAATATAGCACATTGACCCAAAATGAAATGAATAGGTATATGATTCGACAATGATTTGTAGACAATCATTACGAATTATGATGGTTATTAATCATTCGTTTTCCAGCTGTGTATTACGTAATTCTGGCAATCTCAACCACCGCACTGTAATTTTACTTGTGATATATATGCAGTTAGTTCATAGAAATTTAATGTGGATCAATATGTTTACAGTCACAGTTGAAACGGAAAGTTGTACTAGAACACGTAGATCATATCATGTTGCATTAATCGTTGACCCTGACGAACAGTGGGGTCGTTATACATCTCATTAGCAATAATGAATCAACAAAAATATACATTATACATACGCAAACAGTCATTCGTGTATGAGTATCTTATGTTGGTACCGTTTCATATCAATTGATCCGGAAGCTACAACCGAGGCAATAAAATTCACATGTTCATGTTAATTATATGAAATGACTTAGATAAAAATATGTTCAAGAAAAATATTTGAGGCGGTCGGATGTCTGGCAAATTACATTTGTTTGTGCTTTAATAACAACATTCAATCGAATTCGGATAAGCACACACCGTTTTATTGAGTTTCACTTATCCTAATAATTCAAAATTCCCCATTAAGTACTCGTTTTCGCTTAACAGAATTCGACTGTATGGCATGTTAATTTTATTAGGTTCAATGAAAATATTTTAAAAATCGACTAATGGAAATGGTACACTACTCAGAAAATAAATAAAAATTACTTCACCAAGAGTGGAATATATATTTTAAAAACTACCAAACCTATTTAATATTGTTTAAAATAATGTAGGACCCTGTATAAAAACCACTCACTCAACTTTCCAACACACCGATATGCTAATCGTTAACGTTTTCTTCGCCATAAACATTATTATACATTTGCACAAAATAAAAAAGATGAATATCATTATAATCTCCCATAGTCCAGTTAATTATTATGTTGTTTACTCTGGCTTAACTATTGTTGTAGCATGAACTTGAAATTTTTGATGGAATTTAGCCCATATTTTAGCGAACGTTGTCGAACCCCAATAGATCGAACAACACAAATACATAGGAAGTGTAAGGGCTGCGCGTATGTATGTACGATGCGATAGCTGAAACCTTGTCGTGCCAAGCATCATGGTGATGTCAATCGCCTTCTTCATGGAGTAAAATTCTCATCATTGCTTAATAGTTGAACGGGTGTCTTAGTAAACGCACGCATGCGTTCCGCATTTCTGTACGTAGTTTTACTTTAAAAAAATTAACAATCGACCAATATCAGAACAAGTAACTCGAAAAATGGTTTACAGTGATAAGGTATGAACGGTGTAAGGAATTAATTTATTGGACCTTCTTTAAGAATCGTCGTAATTATAACCCTGTATAATTAATACAATATAGAAATAATGTCGTAAGTAATTCATTGCACGTTGGCATATGCTTCAAAGTCAGTGTTCGAGAAAAAATTAAAATTCCGATAAGTAAAACACTACGATTATTGCTTCACCGACTGTGGTACCCGACTTGTTTTTTTTTGAATTGTTACAAACTACTATTATTTACAATGGATAGAGAGAGATCGAGTTTTAATATAATACTTTCCTTTCACACCTGAATCCTTCGGCCTTCATTCGTAGGACTTGAAATTAATCCACTCGACTTCATTTATACGACGGAGGAAAATATTGCATGTTGGCTTATTTTGGTTAAAGTATTTCTCTGTTGGCTTTGAATGCAGAAATTTGTATTGGAATCAAATTTGTAACGCTTCACACTAGACACAGCCTCAAGCAACACAAAACAATTCAATGACTAATTTTTGGTATATCACGATTAACTAATATATGTTGTTTACTCTGGTTTTACATTGTCGTAGCATGAACTTGAAATTAATGATGGAATTTGACACATTTTTAGCAGTCTTCATCACCACCATAAAAATTTAGGTATAGAATGTGAGGGTATATAGCAGCATTGGCATTATAGCAGACATTAAATTAAAAAACGTGGAAAACAACTAGCACCAAGTATATACAAATGACGAAATTAAGCTATTCATATCCCATTAACTGTTGTAGGAAATTTATAAATAAGCTAACCTACTAAAAAAAGTAGATGTAACACTTGCTGTTACCTTATACATATTATTTTACCATGCTGTCATTAATTAATTCTTCTATTAAGGATACAAATAAAAGTGTATTTACTTGTGCGAACCTGTTTATTTTTGTAGCAACAAAACTTGATTTAAGTGGTTTAGCGGCCGATTTCAAGGTCAATTTACATTGTTGTGGGAGATTCAAACAAATAAAATTAACACTTTCAAAATTGTATGTAGAAATTGTTGAGTAGGGGAAAGCATTTACATTGTGGCGTATTTGTGAATATTTGATGTGTAGAAGTTTGTTGAGAGTAACTAGTCAAGAAGGTTTTTTCATTTCATACACTATTCTATTCGGAGATATGGCGTAATTTTTTTCTTTGTAGATATTGTATGTAATTTTTAGATTACATTTCTCCAGCAAAATCGAATGAGATTTTTTGTAAAACATTTCGCCAACAAAGATGGTTTTCATCTTCTTCAACCTTTAACTTTGGCGGTGGGGTAAATTTTACCCTTCATATATTTCTCTTCATTCAACAAAAGTTGAGAATTGTTTATATAATTAAAGTATGTATATTGATTTGAGTTCATTTTATTATTTGATGGCACTTTAATAAATAAACAATACAAAATATTACAGAAAAAATAAATTCTAAATATTCTATGTGTCGTGACTGATAAATTTTTTATTATAAAACATAGTTTGTACTACTCAAGAAATCCATTTGATATTATAGATGAACCAATATTTCCTCTTTTGGGTTTTTTCTAACATTTATTTGTTTAGAACCTTAATTTTGAATATGAATGTGGATTTCTGGTAATACAAACTATTATTGGGGACATCTAGGTACATTCGCAGTCCAAAAGTTATATGACTTGTTTATATTATTTTTTTCGTGTAAAAAATTCGCTTTTATCTCTAAATACGCCGTAGAAATTAATACTGTTAGAAAAACAGGGAATGAAAGAACATAAATGAGTCGTTTATTTTGAAAGTGATTTGAATCCACTTTTTTTCTTATATTGAGATATTTAAAAGTTTTTTGTTTCAATTTTTTTAATATTGCTAAGTAGTATTAATTTGGTTTATGGCTTTGTACCCTTAAACATGATGGAATGTACAATATATATCGGATTAAGAAACTCTAAAAAAACCGGAGATTTCTTTCTTATATGTTTTTTTCGTATATGGAATTATCGGACATAAGAAAGTTGTTTCTTAAAAGCGTACATACGCATACGTGAAATCTTTCTTATATGAATATTTTATCTTAATGTAAAATGTTTAAATGAAAAATAAAAGAATCATGTTTCAATGAAAAACATTGTATCAAACAAAAGAATTCATTTTATAAAAATACAAGATTACTAAATAAAAACCAGTTCACAGTTCGACTAAAAATAGGTGCATATGTTTCCATACATATAAATAATATTATTTCATACATATAAATAATATTTCAGAGAACAAATAGTTTTGATTGTTTACAAATCGTAACAATTGATTAAATATTAGCTGAAAATCTTGCTGTGAAATCGTTTCTGGATAAATTTTCTTTGTAAGAAGTTTAAAAAAATAATCTCTTTAACCGAACAACATACAGATGACATTTGTACATATTATTGAGTAAACGACTACTCCTAATGTCGTAATAAAAATATAACCACAAATAAAGCAAAATAGGTATACCTATGTATGTGCATAGAGCACATTTGAATGACTGATACGTGTTGTGCATTTTAGAACAGTCTTGCTAATAGGTTTGCAAACTTTTCTGCTAGATAATAGAAAGGCATCATACAGTAAGCAACTTTTTTCTATTTTCAGATTTCTACACAACTGATTATTATAGTAGGAGCGCTTTTGTCGAGTTCTAGTTGTCAGAATATTGTGGATTTGGCGCGAGATTTTGAAACGACTTTATTGAATACAAAATTACCAGATACGCCCGAATTCTTAGACGAATATGATTTTATTATTGTTGGCGCTGGATCAGGAGGATGTGTTGTGGCTAATCGACTTTCAGAGCTACACAACGCCACAGTTCTGCTTTTGGAAGCTGGCGATCAGGAAACTTTCCTCAGCGATGTTCCACTTACAGCTGCATTGACTCAAATGACGCGGTACAATTGGGGCTACAAAAGCGATCCGACACCAAACGCATGTCGAGGTCTAGAAGGCGGAGTTTGCAATTGGCCAAAAGGTAAGGGTGTGGGTGGAACCAGTCTCATTAATTTTATGTTGTACTCACGGGGACATCGCAAGGATTACGATCATTGGTCATCTTTGGGCAATAGCGGATGGAGTTATGACGATGTATTACCATATTTCAAGAAGTCGGAGCATATTGATATAGATCATTTAAGAGATTCTAAATTCCATGGCACCAATGGACCATTAAACGTGGCATATGCGAATATTGCTAAATCGACACTGCTGAAGGCTTTTCTTAGGTCCAGCAATGAAGTGGGTTATAATATTACCGATCCCAATGGAGAAAGTCTAATGGGGTTTGGGAGAGCGCAGGCAAATATTCAAAACGGCCGGCGGTGTAGCACAAGCAAAGCATTCATAAAGCCTGTATCACATCGAAAGAATTTATCAATATCTATGAAGTCCTGGGTGACCAAAATTTTAGTGAACAAATCTAAAAACATCCGCTCCAGACCAAAGGCGATTGGCGTAGTATTCATGAAAAATCGTAAGCGTCACATTGTTCGTGCTAAAAAAGAAGTAATATTGTCAGCCGGTGCAATTGCATCACCCCAGTTGCTAATGTTGTCAGGCATAGGCCCTAAGGAAAATCTACAAAGACTGAACATAACAGTTATAAAGGACTTACAAGTTGGTTTCAATCTGCAGGACCATGTCACTTTGAATGGCATAGTCTTTTCCATAAACGAAACCACAATTAATGATCAAAAAGTTATAAATTCCGCCGACATCTTAAAGTACATATTACATGGTCAAGGCCCGTACACGATTCCTGGGGGAGCCGAAGCTCTGGCATTTGTAAGAACGCCTAGTTCTAATTTCGATTCAGATTATTCAGATATGGAAATCGTGCTTGGTGCCGGTTCACTGGTAGGTGACTACATGGGAACGATGAGAAATTTAATTGGAATTACGGATACATTTTATCGCAGCGTCTTTGAAGATTTTCGACAAAAGGTAAAAAGACAGATGAAAGTGTATTTATCCATTGACATGCAATAATTCTTTCTCTAGGAAACCTTCGGCATGGTTCCCGTTCTATTAAGACCTAAGAGCAGAGGGCGTATTTCATTACGAAGCACTAATCCGTTTCAATGGCCAATTATGGAACCCAATTTTATGCAGGACCCCGATGACATAACGGCAATGATTGAAGGAATAGAAATAGTGAGTAGATAAACATCCTATTATTGAAAACTTTGTAATGAAGAATACCAACGTAAACAACTTTTTTATTCCGATGCAATTAAAAATTTTTATTAATTATTCTATTATTGGAAAGACCCTAGTATTTACCATCAATGTGCATTTAAATTTTATAGAAGTAGAATGTATGTTTACAACAATGAAGTTCTTAATGGCATTTCTCAATTTTAGATATTACAAATAGGTCAGACAAAATCTATGAAACACATCGGTACACAGATCAATACAAAGAAATTTCCGGGTTGCGAAAATTACCCTTTTGCAAGTAGAGATTATTGGAAATGTTGTTTGCGACTTTACGGATCCAGTCTGCAACACCAGTCGGGTACATGTAAAATGGGACCACATAACGATCCAGATGCCGTAGTAGATCCAGAGTTAAGAGTCCATGGTATCGATAATTTGCGAGTGGTAGATGCGTCGATAATGCCGACAATTCCAGCCGGCCACACCAATGCAATTGTCATCATGATTGCCGAGAAAGCTTCGGACATGATAAAAGATTATTGGAGAACTACTGTAAAATAATATATTTCATTATTTTAAGTAAAATACACTGTGATACATAATTAAATTATGTAAAAAATTATATAAAAATGTTATATGAGGGTGTTATGTTATGAATAAGCAAAAAACCAAATCTATGACTATCTCTTTTACTCTCAAAAGAAGAGTAATGAATCATGTATATTTCCAATTGCTTTAAATTATTTTTTTATGTTTTTATTATTATTTAAGTTTAAGCTAGGCATAAGAGGAATTTTAATAATTATTGTATTGTGTAACTATCAATGACATTCTTGGCTTTGCTGCAAAAAAAGATCTACAGAAAATTGCGGCGGTATAATTGCTAAATTGATCTGAATTTACCATACATAATTACAGTGACACAATACCTAGAATTGCTCGAAATTCAATGTAAATCGAGAATTTTTAACTACAGCACTGTATTTGTACCAACTAATTAATTAGCTTTCCTAAAAGCACAAGAATGATAACGCTTTATGTGTGTCATTGGTTTATTTTAAAATTCAAAAGCCATTAAAATTCAGAGATGTGAACAATAACTGCCTATTCCACAATTCATTCTCAAAAGAAGAGTAATGAATCATGTATATTTCCAATTGCTTTAAATTATTTTTTATGTTTTTATTATTATTTAAGTTTAAGCTAGGCATAAGAGGAATTTTAATAATTATTGTATTGTGTAACTATCAATGACATTCTTGGCTTTGCTGCAAAAAAGCGAAATAAATGAAATTAAATAAAAAAGTAAAATTATATTCGAAACTTTCAACATTTAACAATTTTCAAAGAGAAACAATAATTAGAAAAGAAGTGTAGAAAAATATCACATCTATAATAACTGTTATGGCTTCCCAGGCATTAAACATATGCATATCTTTATGTATTACCAGTAAATAGCAATACATATCAAAATTAAATAAATGAATTTTCCATTGATTCCGAGACGATCCCGGTTGTTTAACAAAATTCGAAACGTGTTCAACACAAGTAATACACATAACTAACAAGAGATTTTACTATACGACGGAAATTTGGCAGAAAAAGTGCCAGAAATTACCATACAATAGTTTACAGCAAAATTTAAGTCTGTTATTCTACAGCAGCTTATCAACATGCGACTTTTAGTCTAAGCTACTGTCAAAAACTACTCCTAAACACCTCATTTCACTATCGCCTTCACACAAACAGAAATGATAGCTATATTGCCCGGGCTATTAAAAAGCAAAGCTTTGGTTTACTCCGATTAATAGTAAGACCATTTGATCTTATCCAAACTAACACAGAGTGCATACATTTATTGTAAACAACGCACGAAAACACCATAGAATAAGTTTGGGTAATGTGGTACAGCAGAGTTTTTCCTAAACTAATAGCATGACAATAAAAGCGGATTTACATATAACATTTTATCATGAATAATCAAGCTAGATTTACCATACAAAATTAAATGATTGTGAGGCAGGGATTATTTTAAATCATGATCGAAATCATGATACTACGGAGATGCAAAGCGGGTTTTTGTTTCATGTTAAAATAGGAAACAAAAAATTACACAGTAAATTTATTATTTTGTATGTATACTAACAAACATCAGCTGATCGGTATTTAGATCATAACAATACTAATCCCAAAAGTTGAATATTCTAAGCAAACTAAGAACATAAGCGCATTTATGTTTCATTTTATAGTACGTTTGCATTTAACCGGATTTCGTTAACCCAGTTGGTTTCATTGTCAATTCCTTTGCATATATTTTAAATAAATCCTCATAAAGTATGTTAACCCGGTAAAAAGTCCTAATGTATATGCCGTTTTATTCTAACAGAAAATATTTGCAAAATTTATGTTCTTGTTAATGGTGTTTCTACACGATATGTATTTTACATATGTGCTGTCACTTTTTTACATACGGAAATCGAACTCGTCATGTGAAACATACGGAAATTTCAATGTGTCAAAACGATATGCAATTACATATGTATTTTTTTCCGAATAGGACGCGCTCTATTTTCGTATGTGAAACATAAGGAAATCAGCTGTTTGAATGAAACACATTGTTGGAAGAAAATATTTCAATTGCAATTCAAAGAAAAGGATGAAAAGGCAACAATTACAAGTTATTATTTCGTTTGTAGGTGTTTAATAAAAAATGATGTTGATTTAAGAAAAAATAAAAGTGTTTTTTTGTTTATAGGTTATGTCATATGTAAAATACATATGCCGATTTGAACACAAAAATAAATGTTTTGTGTACACTGCTAATTTTGACACACATAAGGAATTACATATGGATGAAATAAGTGACAGCACATATGTAAAATACATATCGTGTAAAAACACCATAAGGGCTAAGCAGAATGTTCGCGTTGAGCGTTTTTTTATATCGCACACAAAAAGTTAAAATATATTTAGCCCCGAAGCGCAACGCAGATCAACTTCCAGCGTACATGTTATCGTTTCCTTGTGGTTGTTATATTTTCAATAACATATAACGCCACGGATGGCTTAAAGCGAACATTCTGCTTAGCCCTTTATATTATTCTACCATGCTATGCTGTTAAACCAATTTGTTTCCTCTCTTCAGTTGGAAATCTGACATTGATGAAAAGGAATCGCTTAAAGATTTCACAACTCATATAAATTCCCAAAAACCTAGAAAATTGTGATTTTGTTACAACCACATCATTTTCCACGACACAATAATAAAGGTAGAATTATTTGACGAAAATAATAAAAACTGTAGTCTAATGGCTTATAACGTTATACATTGTACAATTATACAAGTGAACTCAGCTGATTTCATTGTATCGTATTACTCGTGTCAAGTTCGATATGTTTTTGTATGAGGTACCTCTACATATGGCAATGGCTTAATTGGAGGGAAGACCTGGGAGCGATAGATTCATAAATTGCAATTTATGTTGTAAAGGCTAAATTTTAAATTGATATCTATTTTACAATGTAAACATTTCTTGAATTGAACGAAAACTATGCGTACTATACATACTAAAAAATTTAAAAAAACCATGCCGTACAAAAACGACATTCCTTGTTCAAAGCTACCCCCTGGGGGAATGACTTTGTCCATTAAAACAGTAACAAAATATTTATATCGAACTTCTAGCATGTCATTTGTATATTCAGTATAAAACGGAATTTACATTACAACATTTTGTCGGTTTAAACTCCTCTATGAGGATTTATGTGACATGTATGTAATGGAGTTGACAATTTAGATCTACTGGATTAAATACATCCGGTACAATCAAAACGTACTATAAAGGTTACATCTGTAATTGAAATTTATATAAAAAACAAGAAAAAATTGTATGAGGTTCGAAAGCAAAAAATGTTCTCAAATGCCCCCTCTCCCCTAAATATTCCTATAATTTATAACAACAAAATTTCTATGCATATCTGACATTATCAAAATAATGATAAAATGCGTATATGCACATTAATGTCTGTACGTTTAGTTCGTTCGTTTACTCAATAATTTGTTTACTCAATGTTATTCCAGTAAAATGAGAGCAAATTTGACAGTTGTGTTACTGAGTATTTGCAAATTTATGGGCATACTTTACACCATGTATCATGTGTACTATTTTGTGCATTAGTGCTTTACACTATGTATCATGTGTCATGGGGCTATTTTTCTATCTCTCTTTCTCTATCTCAGATTGGTAAATTGAGAGTACGGTTGAAAAACATTGCCAACGGTAGGAACAAAAAGTACGAAAAAGTACCTCACATTTTACATAATAAATCATAATTATCGAGAAATATCGGGCAGTTTTTATTTATTATAGTATTAACATTGTAGTAAATGCAATGCTAATAATAAAAGTATCTAGCATTGGCAACAATGGCCATCAGCTAAATTGGTTGATAATTCTTAATAATTTTTATTAAATAGTAATTTTAAGATGACGTACATAGTTAAATATCTTATTAATATTGACAGCAGTAGGTGATGTTAAAGTATTCATTCATTATGATGTATTATATATATATATATATATAATACATGGCGAGCACGATAACTCAAAAACTAATAATAATCCTAGTTCACACGAGAGCCAGACATGTACTCTTTCTAACACCGTTGGAATTTTCGGATTCCGATGTTCCAGTGAGGAGTTATCATGCCCGCCATCAAAAATAAGGACTTTTCTTTGATCACAAAAAACAACAACAAAAATTTTTTGTAAATTATTTTTCTTCCTTTTTAAATCTTCAAATATATATGTGCAAAGTTACAAATCACAAGCATTGGTATTCATTTACCATCCCATTTAAAATCTTAAATATAAAAAATCGAGAATATGGGGGGGGGGGGGGGTTTCCCTTAAGAGAAAAGATATAATTTTTGTAAGGGCGCCGAAGTTTATTAAAATTTTTATTTGCAATTCTAAAATTATGTTTCACATTTTTCAACCATCCATTCAAATGCATACGAAAAAACAAGTTCTTACTCAATTCATTTTACAATATGATTTATAAATTTCACGATTTTTCAGATATTGATTGAAAACTTCGTTTAAGCGCAACGAGTTTCGCTTATCCGAAGTTCTTTTAATTGGAAATTCTGCTTAAGAGAACTTTTTTTCTGAAATTAGGCGTTTTCACTTAACCGAATTCGACTGTATATATATTTTAATTTAAGCGTAAATGTATTCACGAATAAAAATATTTACTTCTTGTTTTGGTACGTTCATGTAAATTCGTACCTTTTGTGAACAAAAAGAACGCTGGTTACAAAATTAAAAATAGCGCAACTCTAATTACTCTCAATTTACCAATGAAAGTCTGCTTTTCCACAGGCAAATTTTTATTTGGGAAATACTGAGTTTGCCGTACACGCAAATTATGCTTTGCTCTGTTCGTTGAAAACAATTTTGTTGACATTTCCTTTTGAACCTATTCGCTTTACTGACACACAGCCGGCTTTTGTTTACAAACCTGTTGCTTTAATTTGTGCAAGTGAAATTTAATTTTTAATTTTTGCAATTTATATAATAAAATATATAAAAAAAAATAAAATATTTAAAAATTTTTTAAAATGCAAACACTTTTGACGTTTTTCTTTCTTTTGTATTTTGATTCGCAAATTTGGCAAAGAAAAATTTGTTAATGGAAAAGCAAGCGAAAATTTCAAAAGAGAAAACAAAAAAATTGCCAAATAAAAATCTTCCTGTGGAAAAGCGGACAAAGGGAAAATAACTCTCAAGACACCATGAGAGTAAATTGTCCTTACAAGGACAATTTACTCTCCCAAGAAAATTGATTACTTTGTAAAGTTTATTTTGACTTTGTACACTAAAATATTAAAATGGAGGAAGAAAACGCAAGTATTTATTAAATAGGCAATGCAAATAAAAACAAAAAAGTGTGCAAAAAAATTAAGCTCTTTGTTTTTTCCAAATTTTGTTGTTGTTTACTCACCCGTGTCGATACAATCTTTTTACTGGATGCTGTTCGTTTACTTTTTACAATTTTCTATCTTGGGAATGTAAACGAACATACCTATTATTGCAACAAATGTCACCTATGACGTACAACGATGTGGCAACGTCTCGATGGCTTGTAAACAAATGACAAACGTCATGTTTTCAATGTACATGCGAGAGAGATTGAGATTTTTAATAGGGAATTCTAAGCTAATATCCGTTCCGTAAAAGAAGTAATCGGGGCATAATGAACGGTCCCTATCAATTCATAAACCAGACTGCCGTAACGAACGCCATGGCTTCTGGCCAGAATATCGACTGGGCTAGCTTGGCACAGCAATGGATAAAAATGCGAGATAGTGCACCATCGGCAGGCGTTGAAGCAAATGACTTTTCCATAGCTACAGCACGATATGAGGAAGAGAAGGGGGAGGCTGATATGGATATGGACGACGAGGAACATTTAGAAAAGGATCCACAATGCAGGACTGTTGGCGATACAATTATGCAACAAGGGACAATAGCTGATCCTTCTTCCTCACAATGGTACGCGGATAAAACGAATGCAACAGAATCAGGTAAATGTCCATGGGTGTACATTCTTCTCCTGCTAGAGGGGACTTATAGTTGATCAAGATGCTGCAAGCACTCAAAAATTTAATATTTTTTAGTTGGAATTGACTATGGAGTCATATCTCAAAACCAGTGGGGCAAGTGGAATAATCCACTTACTCCTAGAAATGCAACCTCTAGACGACCAATTAACCCATCGGTGCAGGTACCTTCGTTGTTGAAAATTAATGTTCCTCATACGAATGAAGTGCGGGCAATACCAGATGTACCAAGTGATTCGGCCAGCACATCCAATGTAATGGAAGCGGCGAAAAGAAAAGGACTACCAGCGTGGATAAGGTTCTAGTTCGACGTTTTTTATAAAATGTAAGTGTATCATATAATTAACTGATTTCCATAAATATCTTAGGGAAGGTCTGGAGAAAATGGAAAGAGAAAAACAGAAACAACAGGGGAAACATCAAACGACAGAAACTGAACAAGTTCTTAGTGGAGCGGTTGCTTTGGCAAAACCGGCAACGTTAAGGGAATTAGAGACAGATTTTGTAGTGAGAAAACAATCGGTGTGTTGTAGCCTGTAATAAGTAATTAGCCAGTAATTATCTTAATATATATGTACACAGGAAGGTGAATATGATGGGCAAGACGATAGAGCTTTAGATGGAAATATTCTAGAAAAAGGGCCTCACAAAGAAAGTTCAAAGGAAAGCGCGGACGTAATAGAAGTAAGTGCAGAAAGTTACGAACAAAAATTAGAAAGAATGGTAAGTTATGGACTTCGGAGTCGTTTCTAGTTGTTGTCCATTTATGAACGTTAATTTTATATAATCACATCAATACTTCTGAAACTGCTCTTTAATAGATGGTCCTCGTACGTCACACACTTACTGAGCTATTGTTAGAAGTTACAAACGAAGAAATTTCAAAGTTAGCGAACGAAACCTTGAAAAGCTCCAAGTTGAAAGGTATTTTATATTATTTCAATTTATGATCACATATAATTTTGTCCCACAGCATAGAAAATGTTTTACAAAGTGTGTAAGTTATATCGCAATAAGTCGTTGTAGCATGTCAAATATCTTGTTTCTAAATGTGTTAAAATATATTGTTTAAAATTATATATACATTTTACACATATCCAAAAGCATCGTCGGCACTAGTGGTCCACAATAGCGCTTTATCTACTATAACTGGCAAATTAGGTAAGTCGAATCACTGAATTGTATCTAAAATAAACACTTCAAATGATATAATTAAGTAATTAGTGTAATTAGTTCCTTAGAATATATTTCAGAAAAATGAGTGTGGGAGTTTAAAGATACGAAAATTTTTCCGTATATGTTGTAAGTGCAAATTACAACGTTAGGCTAGTTATATACTGTTTGCTCTCAAACAACAATATTTTATATAAAGACCTAATAGTATATAATTTATACTTTCACACCCAACATAATTCAAGTATGCAATTCTATTAATATTCATCATTAATTCTAGTCCAAAAAATTAGACTAATTTATGATTACCTAATTATCATTTCCAAATCCTATTGGTCAGACTTTTAAATACAAGTTATGTTAATAAGTGGCCTATAGATGTATATATGCCAAAACATCTACACTACTTGAGTAAAAGCTAATTACTTCAAAATAAAAAAACAACTTATAGGATTAGCAGTGTACGGTCATAGCTCGAGTGAAGATAGTAGTGACGATGATGACAACGCGTCCGACTCCAAGAGAACCCTTACTTCGGATGACAATGATTCAGAAGAAGACATCAAGGTAATACTTTACTTGAAAAATATTTATAATACATTCTTAAACTTTGCTTCATTATTTAGGCATCACTTCGTCAAAAGAAACGGGCTTTTCAAAAAGTGGCAAACGAAATAGAGGATCGTGTATCTGCTGCCGCTGCTAGAGAGGCTGAAAAACTAAAACAATATACAACTCGTACTATTGAAGCCGAAGAGATTCCTAAGAAAATTGACAAAAATGTCGTTTTGGAAAAAAATGAAATGGTAACATGCGAATCTGTAGCCGGTAGTAGCAGTAAAAGTATTGGTAATATTATTGATGAATCTGGTGAGGCAACAGAAACAAAGTTACAAAACATAAACGGTGCGTCTGTTACTAATATGAGTACATATATTTCTATTTTATGAAACACATAATGTTCACACTTATACTTTGAAACACTCGATTCGTTGCAAATCCGCAAATGTTTTCGAAAAGTATATGATATGAATGGATATAAAAATAATCACAATACTAATAGCAATTGTGTAGTCCATGAAAATGTTAATACCTACTTAAAACTTTTATTCCTAGGTAAACGACACAGGGATAGAGGAGCACTAAAAGAACGTACATCACGATTTAGCGACAACAGAGATAACAAATATTTAACGATGTCGGCCACGGTCACATGTGTCTCAGAGGCACAATCAAAACCGAGTATATGCAACAGTGCAACCTCCTATGCTACTGTCAACCAGAACTTAGCTCTGTACAACATTAATACATCAGTGTCAAAACAGACTTGCCTAAGTAGTGTTGCGAACAATGTAAATACAACGGTATTGGAAGGTAGTTGTAGGCAAAGTAGGGCAGCCAGTCAAGACCAAGAAAGCGACCAGAGCGAGAAATATGCAAAACGAAAGTATAAATATTCCGATAAAAAATGTTCTCGTTCAGTTTCTCGGTCCCGGTCTCGATCATCGTCACGTTCTTCTACATCGTCCTCTTCAAGTTCAGAAGCATCAACGACGACTTCTTCTGATGATTCGAAAAACAGCCGACATTCGCATTCAAGGTATTCAACTTCTAAAAAACGGAGATATCGCCATAACCATAGGGAGAAGTCATATTATTCATTATATGAAAAAAATCGCAAATCTTCTAGTCGGCGTCGTCACGAGTCCGACTCCAATGATGAAGACGAATACAGCAACAGACGCAAGACAAGCTCCCGAAATTACTCTTCTTCCCACTCCCGCAGTCACAATTCTTCTCGAAGTGACCGAGACTCTTCACGATCTCGTTCTAAATCTTATTATTCCTCTTCGCGTAGACACTAAATCAGTAGGTCATGCTAAAGCTTACATTTGTATTTTTATTAAATCAATATATTTTATTACTGTAAAACAGTATTTATAACACCGCAATCAATAAATAAACAAATGGAGTTGTAGCGTTCTAATTTACTTGTGCACTCGTATTTTAATCTTATATTATAGAGTGGTTACAGATGATATCAAATATTCCCCTTGGCTATAAAAATACATCTGTAAGAATTTCTAGTTTTATTTATTAACAAATAAAGTTATATTTAAAATTATTCATTAAAACTATCTTTATTTATGGCTCTTACATAATCAGCCTTTGTGAGAAATTTTTCGTTTTGTTTGTTCGCCTTGCAAATTATGACAGTCGATATCGAGTTGTTTCGATCGATGTTATTCAATGGAAATGACCGCATTCCATATAGAATACCTTTCGTCAAAAGGTCCGTTAAAAACTATCGACAGTCTGCTCGTTGCTGAAGTAGGTGTTGAAAATAAAAAACGAACAAGAATTCCAGCAAGGAGAGGAGTTGAATATATAACACAAAAAACAGCTTTGGACGTATTCAAACTGGTTATATCGCATAAAAATGCTATGTTTAGACAAATTAAGTTATGAACTACCAACAATTTCATCACATTCGATCAAAATAGTGAACTGTGGCGAAATTGCTATAAAACAATAAATATAATTAATAAAGAATCTCCCAGTTACAAATCATAATTTGTGTATGCCTCCGAGCAAATCTCATCGAATAAAGGAAATTATAAAGACGATATTTTTAAAAGAAAGTCTAGGGAAAAACGTTATTTATGCATCTGAAGAGATTATTATAAATTCCAATGTATCCATAGTATTTTTTAATTCATTTTAAAAAGATTGAAAAAGAAAACGCGGTAATTTTTGCTTTAATAGTATTGTTGACATAGTACCTCTAATTATGTAGATGCATAAAGAATCTATAACAAATAGACTGTTGCAGAAAGTTGTTATTTAAAAATGTTTAGACAATTTAATTCAAAGTATGTAGTAGAAGAATAAGAAACCGACTCATTAACTAAAAACATGACACATGACGTTTCTTATCAAAGAACCTAGGAAACAATACTCGTATTATTATAATGGAAAAAAGTCGTTAATCAAGGCCTATATAAGGTCGGCCAGTAAGCGAATTCATAGAGAAAACTTAACTTTAACGTCATTTTTTTGTGGAGGAGAAAACTAATTGTTTCGCCTTTAAATAAAAAACGCAACACAATCTATAATTTGTAGGATAATTTACTTGAAATCTTATTTAAACTCTAAATTAAAATTAAATTGAATGTTAAAAAAATATTAATATTTTCGTTTTGACGTCTAACATAATTTTGTAAATATGATTCGACAGCAAACTTTATACTTACCTGTGCTTTTTGTCCGACCTTATATAGGCATTGGTCTTTAACAAACAAACGTCTGGGATGGGTAATGCTGAGAGAATTGACATCCATGTGTCCAAAAGCCAACCTTAGATTGAACCACTGTTCCAAAACAAGATTCCCATTTTAAAAGCAACTGGGCTGGATCAGCAAATGCATACGGTTCACACAAAAACTGCAGTTCCGGAAAAATATCGTTAAGAAATAAGATGAAAAGAAGCGGACCTAATACCGAATCATGCGGTATCGGAGCCATCGCTCATATACAAATGTGATTTGTTACTTAATAACATATTCAAAAGCTGCAAAAAACGTTATTTGTTTTATAATGGTCCCCACATATAAAGGCCTGTAGTTTTTACATGAACCAATTGATCTCTATAAAGATCTGTGGCCTCTCTACGGACAAATTGGTCCTCATAAAGATCTGTGGCCTCTATACGGACAAATTGGTAAAGACCTGTGGTCTCTAGACAGACCAAATGGTCTTTATAAAAACCTGTGGTTTCTACACATACCAATTTCAAATTTGATATCACTCAATACTAAATTCAATTTATTTTAATAAGTTTGCCGCATTATACCAGCTTTAAAAAAAATTTTTTTGTTATTTAAAACAGAATTATGTATAAAATCTCTCAATTTTTAAGAGCATGTTCAGCAATGCAATTATTAAGATTTTCTGAACGAGTATGTGTAAAAATATCTTATGAATTTGTTTGTTTTTTTTCAAAATACTTTTAAATATCATTGTATTACAACAGTTATCTGTTGTAGAAATTCGCCTATACGGCTGCCTTACTGAGCATACAAAGGTAATCGAAGTAATCGAAATCGGAAAACTTGAGAAGCAGCTGATATGCAGCTGGTCTCCATGGATGACCTTATAAATAGGCCTTAAAATTACCCATATGTATTTTGACAGATAATCTGATAACCATTGCCTATAAATAAGGTCACCAAGGGAGACCAGCTGATTATCGATACCTCTTAAGTTTGCTGTCAAAATGCATTATTGTGAATTGACTTCCATTATGATAACGTAAACAAAGTCGAAATTTTTGACATTAAACTTGAGAAAAAAAACAGATGTTTTCCGATTTCGATTGCTATCTTGGTGACCTTATGTATAGGCCATGTTGGTGACCTTATTAATAGATCTTGGTGATAACAGTTCTTGATGAAGTATCTGCACAAGGTATATTTAATAAGGTAGCCGCATCGGGCCAGCTGTTGGACAAATAAATGTCAAAAATGTTGTTGTAATGTTGAACGAAAAAATTAAAAAACAAAATTATAAATGAAAATCTCCGAATTTCTAATAGCTTTTTTGACAATACTTTTATTAACAGTTTCTACAAGAATTTGTGTAAAAAAATCTTGCCAATCTGTTTGTTTTGGCAAAATATTTTTGACATATAAATATATAACAACCGATGTTTGTTGTATTTATCTACCTTGTATATATTGTACCATGATATGAATGAAGTAATCCGATAATCAATAACCATCTTGTAAATATGTATCTCGCTTGTGTTTGTAAACACAAAAATCTGAATTTGGAAAAAATAAAGTCTTTATTACTTTTTAGACAATGGGTTATATTTGCCGAACATGTGCAAGGGAACAAAGTAATGGCAACGCTTTAAAACTCTTTGATCGTCGACACAGAGAACTTTTGACTCAAATAGAGGATATAACGGGAATTTGGGTAGGTGCAAATAAATTCAAAAGTGTCTGTGGAAACATAGTTATTTGTCCTTGTTTGTGTAGTTGAAAAACAGTGGCTTACCAAAGGTAATGTGTTCAACATGTCATCAATCATTACGACAAGCCCATCAATTTCGGGAAAATATCATAAAGGTGCAATCCTTACTTGCTGACAAATATAAGGACCTAAAAGAACCAAACCAATTCGATGAAACGACAGAGTTCTTTCAAGTTTGTATCAAAGAAGAGGAATATTTTGTAAAATCCGAAACAGAAATCGCAGGTGAAAATGAAATAAATATTGAAAGTCAAGACGAACTTGAGTATAAGAAAGCAGGTGACTTCTGTAATTTGAACCAACGAGACGCTTTGGAATTAAAACCAAATGAAAAAGAAAATTTAGATGGAAAAGAAATTGGCAGTCTAGATGACCTGTGGTCAGAGAGTGAAATCACTGCAGATTTCAAAACATCCAACATACAGTATGAAGATGAAAAGCATCTCTCTGACACTTTACAACACAATGAGAAGGATAGTAATATCGCGGAGTCTCCAGAACCCATTTCTCCGAAACAGAATAAAAAGTACCGAAAACGAAATAGAACTGTAAGTGCTAAATCTTCGCAAGAGAAAGAAAAGGAGGACGATCCCAAAGTAAATACACGACGTAAAAGAGAAAAATCTGACACTAATAATCGTTTTATTTGTGACCAATGTGGGAACCATTTCACCTGTAGCTACTATTTTAAGCTACATTTGCGAAGGCATGCTGGTGACAGACAATGCGCCTGCGAGTAATATTTTCGTTTTTCTATTTATTTTTTACAATTAATACTAAGAACAATTTTGCAGATTGTGTCCTGACAAATTTTTTACCAACTCGGAGTTAAGAAGACACATGAGAAAGCACACTGGTGAAAGGCCCTTTGCTTGTCAATTCTGTGATAGAAGATTTACCGACTACAGTACAAGAATCAAACACCAAAGGAGCCATACAAATGAGAGACCGTTTACATGTTCACAGTGTGGAAAATCCTTTACTAGTACGTACATTCTTAAGAATCACATGCTCACTCATACAGGTGAAAGACATTTCAGGTATCTAAATTAAAATTCGAGTACAATGAATTGACCCATTTCATCATTTACTGCTTTTAATATTATAGGTGCGAAGTATGTGGAAAAGCGTTTGGCAGAAGAACGAATCTTGATGCTCACTTCCGCTCAATTATGCACAAACAAGCTCTAGATAAAATAAAAGTTCCAGGAGAAAAATCCAATCTGACTAATCTTCAAAATGCTAACGTAATTTTTTCATAGAATTTAGTTTAACATACATGCATATGTATTTACAGTCGAAATCGTTTATAACTACTATGATCAAGGGACATAACTCGTGACATTTCATACAGTCGTTATAACCGATATATCACTATAAACAATTTCGACTGTACGTGTTTATATTTATATTTATACCGTGTATTACAGCAATGAAATTAATATGTCATGAATTCCATGTCACGCACTGTTACAGCGTGCGAAATATAATAGTTTGTTTAGTCAAGAAAATTTTCCAGAATTTCTTTTGCAATTTTTATTAAATTGTCTTATGCTCTTTGCACTACCTGTAATTTTTTATGAATATGTTTGTAAACTTCAGAGATATTAAGCAAAATGTAGCATACGCACGCGCTACAAAAATTTCCATTTGAAAATTAAATATCAGTTTCGATATGAAATTTCTGCGAATTGTCGGGAGATAAAATTGTGGATTTTTTACAGATATAAGGGGATTATATTGACATTTAATTTTTTGAGAAAAAAACTTTTAAAATATACTTTTTTTAATTTTGAGCCCCGTCACGCACTTGTTACACTCGTAACGCACCATTACAAATATGTACTAAAAAAATTAAATTCAAAACAGAATGTTTTAAATATAATAATTTTTATATTATATATATCTTTTTATATTATATATATCTTTGAGTGGCCCCAAGACCTTTAGTATATCATTATGCAGTTATGGACCAATCGTCACGAAATTTTTGCCTGTAAGTCCGGCTCTAAACAAACTTATTGAAGAAAAATGTAACATGTACGTGACGGATATAAAATTTTCGGTGGAGATAGAAAACAAGCTTTGTTTTATTTGAATTTGCCATCTCAATATCCAAACATAACAGCATTATCCGAAAAATTACTCTCCACGCGAAAATGGGACAACAAAAAGAAAAACTACCGTTATCTTTCAAAATCAACTAAAAATATATTGTCCGGATTGCATAATCGTCGTAATAGAGTAACGTCGGGTAATGTGGACCACCCCCATATCTCAGAAAATGTTTGAAATATGTCAATGCCGTCTTGATAAATGTTTTCCTAATTAGTGAAAACATCCAACTGGGTTTTAAATAAATAATTGCAATGTTGAAAATGTAGTTAAGCTCTGATTGTAAAAGTGTGATTTTAACATTTTTTAGCACAATAGTCGAACGTTTTGGCAAAATAGTCGAACACTTTGTTTTTTCTCGAATATAAAGAAGTTATGTGGTTTTCTTGTTTCTTTTAGCAAAAATATACATTTAGCTGTAATTACAACCGGTGATTTTTATTAAGTTTTAAGCCGATAATTATTTCTAAATGAAAATATCCAATATCGAGTAATTTGGTTTTTTTAAATATAATGATAATTATTTTTAAATGAAAATATCCAATATCGAGTAATTTGTTTTTTTTTTTTAATATAATGCAATAAAATTTTTATAGACAAATATATATAATGTTTGACCTGGAATATATTTAGCCAACAAATCTACTGTGTTGTGGAAACCATTTGTTTTTATTTTCTACCTTTATTACGCCCACAATATCAAAAATATGAAATTATTGTCCACATTACCCGAAGTTACTCTAGCTTTTCACATATAATACTGTCTTCAATTAGCGAATACTTAAAGATGGATAGCTTTAGGAAAAGTCGGCCCAATCACGTAAGAGAATTGCATTCTCAAGGAAAAAATTTCTATAGCGGATTGGATCCTCCGATCATTGTTGTTGTTTTGTTTAATATTTATTTCCACAAAAATACAAAAAAACTTACATAATGGACTACTCTGTAACATGGAACAATAAATAGGTAGTCCATTTAGAGCAGCTGATGTCTCGATTAACTGTCAAAGTGCGTAATTTCTACTTGAATTCGATGTGCAATGTTGCCAACCATGTGAAATATTATAAGGAAAAATTTGACAGATGGTCGAGATAAAAACAAAGATTGTTGTTATACATCACCTTATTATCGTATCATGTCATGATGGATAGTCTCATTTGTGAAATTGATAGTGGCAACCGTTTTTAATACAATGTAGGACAGCTTGACGAAATCTTCAGTATTTATCAAATGAGATGATTCATATTATCGCGTTATAAGTTATAGTATGAAAAATTAGTATTTATTTCCTCTATTTACAAATCTAGTCGATTTAGACTGCACGGTCTAAACACCCTTTACGTATCCTGAATGCACCTAATGTTGGTCGACGAATCATTGCCTGTGATCAGCCATAAGAATACCGCCTTAGTCCATCGCCGTCAAATGTTACAAGTACGACTACAGACAACCATGTCCCAACACAGATACTAATTTTTTGCATCCCTGATGCGTATCAATAAAAACTACAGGGACTGAAGATAGACAAATTTGACATTCTTTTTTTATTGTTTAAAAAGAAGAAAAAAATTAGTGATCTTGGTATCTTCGTTAGCTGCGTTTGCTTCGACACATCATGTTTTGAAAAGCATTTAAACTAGCACAGTGATTAAGCATTGAATTCTGCACAACAAAGGTACCTAGAGGAAATGAAAACAAACGAATGTGACAATTTTTTTCTCTCCTTCGGCAGAGGTTAAATAATATTTAGTTTAATATGAAACTTCTTTAGGGCGATTGTGTAAAAAGTGACTCATGTTATCCTCAAAATGTCTAATGTAACAGCAACTTGAGAGCCTACCGCTCCCTAGAATTTTGACTCCATTGGTAGAGTCTGATTTCAGGAGATTGCAACATTTAATGTAGTGTTGCTTGTCGCCCCGCGCTGCAGGCATTAAGAACCGAAGCAAGTTGAATTAGTTTTCGACAAAGCGAAAACAAGTTATTTCTTATTAAACACAGAGTGTTTTGAAAAAGTCGTCCATACATATGTATACATGTTTGAATGTACATATGCATGTAGCTGATTTGAGCTATTGCTCTTACTTAGATTAAATGTGATCAAATATGTGTATATTTCTTAATTAAAGTCTGCATATTTATGATTTTACTTAATTTTGTGTTTTTGCTTGGGCTTTCTTTGTGCTCATCGCTCTTCAGATAGAATTTCTCACACGCACACACCTATACGTCGAGAGGAGCGAGCGTACGACGTACAAATAAGAGGAAGGCAGCAAACAACCAAGAAAGATCAAAAGTGGTCATTTCATCGCAAAGGGGAGCATCATCTGTTTGGGTCGCAAAGCGTCGTTGAAAGAAAAAGAGCATAAAAAGAAATGACGGAATATAAGCTAGTTGTGGTGGGTGCCGGAGGTGTTGGTAAATCAGCCCTAACCATCCAGTTGATACAAAATCACTTTGTCGACGAGTACGATCCAACAATTGAGGACTCTTACCGAAAGCAGGTAGTGATAGGTAAGTTCACATTTCAAAATGCAATTGCGACACCTAATGTTTTGATGGTGTTTTCAATAGATGGTGAGACATGCCTTCTAGATATATTGGACACTGCCGGTCAAGAGGAGTATTCTGCGATGCGGGATCAGTATATGCGCACAGGAGAAGGTTTTCTACTTGTATTTGCTGTAAATAGCGCGAAATCCTTTGAGGACATCGGCACATATCGAGAACAAATCAAACGGGTGAAAGATGCAGAGGAAGTTCCAATGGTTTTGGTCGGCAATAAATGCGATCTACAGGCCTGGGCCGTAAATATGAACCAAGCTCGAGAGGTAAGGACTTAATTTCAGCAAACAGTATATATATGAACAATTTCTTTATTGAAGGTCGCCAAACAATACGGTATTCCATTTGTAGAAACATCGGCTAAAACACGTATGGGCGTTGACGATGCATTTTATACCCTGGTCCGTGAAATTCGTAAAGACAAAGAGCATAGGGGCAAAAAGGGCCGCAAGACGAACAAACATATAAATCGCAAATTCAAATGCGAACTTCTTTAAAGCCTTTAGTTGGTACTTTCTTTTTTCATTTTTTGTCAAATGAGAGACTACATAGAATAGGAATATGCAAAAAACAAAAAAGAAAACTTATTTAAAGGTTCTAGGCCACGGTCTTTAAAATTAAAAATTGTATGTGCTAATTTTTACAATTTTAGCTGATCTTTTATTTGTATATTTCATCTGTTACCACAGACGATTAAATTTTTTTTGAATGCCTTACACTATATTAACGTAGCAAAAACTCTGAAAGTATTCTATGTTCGCAACGCACAAGAAGTGTAAATTCATACGTCAGATAAAAAAAAACATTTCACAGTTTTAACATTTAGTTCGGTGCTACATACACATATTTTTAACATGCAATCTATATACACACGTATATGTTTTGATATTTATCATAAAATAAATAATAATACTTTAGTAAGATTCTCTTATGAAAACACACAAATATATGCATTTTGCTTTATGATTTATCAAGGCGTTGAAAAACACCCCGAGCCACAACGTTGTATATGTTGTGCACATCGATCTAATTTTTATTTGAAATTTGGTTCTGGATACATAATTAAAAAATCAATTCAATTTGTGTTTTATATATATTTACTGAGTTATAAGTTTAAAAATACTAATATCAACTATAAAAAATAAAAACTGACTTGCTTAGCAGCAGTCGTAAATTAATGATCAAATATCTTGTTTTTTCGTCATTCCCTATTCGTAATGCTGATATACATATACATAAAAATTGTCGTTAACAAAATATAATGCTGAATTTTGTGGCATCCACCTTACGAAGCTTTCAACTCGGCCAAAGACTTCATATACCAACGATATCATTACCAATATTATAAAATGACTACCTATATTTAAAAACTAGGGACCATAATTTACAGAAAATTCAATACAAAACAATGGCTGTTGTTAATTAAACCAATAATTTTGAAGATAAATTAATGCTAGTTCTATAATGACTATATAAATATATTTTTTGTTAATATGTTAAGATGTAAGAACTCTAAATTCAAAATTTCTATCCCTATACAAAGTTTAAGCAGAAACTTAGAAACTGCAAAGACTTTACTTTGACAAAATAGTTTATAAAAACTCATATATATATATACAGTATTTTTCGGTTAATTGACCCTACGGTTAATTGGTTTCCACGCTTAATTGAACCACATGATGGGTCAAAAATATTTCATTTCATAGTAAGCGGTTTCGGATAATTGGTTCCTCGGTTAATTGAACAGAAATTTGTGCAAATTTTGATGTGCAATTAACCGAAAAATACTGTATATGATTTCTCCGACGAATATTTCGCGATGTTGCAAACGGAATAACCACAGTATTAAACACACAAACAATGTTCAATAAGGTTATTAGATGTTCATGTAAACGCTTTATAAATAGGTTCGTTCGTTTACTTTCCCAGTAATATTTACTCAGTAAGAATTTGCAGAGAGTAAATACGAATTTTTCCTTTTCAAGAGAGAAAACTGCAAAAAGTAAACGAACAACATCCAGTAAAAAGATTGTTTCGACACAGCCGATTAAAACAACAAACAAATTGGCGCAAACTAAAAAACAGCATTTTTATTAGAAAATGGATAACAAGCGGAAAATTGATGTTGTTTGTTCCCCACAACCATTTAAAAGGTTTGTGACCTGTATCTGCAATTGATATTGGGGTGGACATAACCGATGGTGTTCCAGACATGTTAGGGATGCACACTTTTTTGTTTGGATTTGGAACCTAAAAAATCGTTCGCCAATTACTCTTGTATTACCTTATTCTTAAATACTTGCGTTTTCTTCATCCATTTTGGTATTTAATGATACAAAATCAAAATAAAATTCACAAAACAATCAATTTTCTTGAGAACAATTTTTTGTTTATTTACAAAACATAACAAAAAAGCTGATTAAATATCAACTGATGGTACAAGAAAATTCTTACTGAGTAAATTTTCCTTGTAAGAATTTGCAAATACTCAGTAACACAACTGTCAAATCTGCTCTCTCAATTCACTCTCTTTTACTGGACTTTTGGGTAAACGAACAACATTTTGTAATAATTTGTACAAATTCGTACAAATTATTGAGTAAACGAACGAACCTAATCATTGCAGTAAAATAATTCCTCCAACATTCATCGATCTATTAATCCCCGAATTTGAATGAACAAACAACTAAAAGTAAAACTTTTGCGAAATGTAAGTTATTCTTGTTAAAAGCGTCGTTAAAATCCGTGGTTAATAGAAACAAAAAGAGCGACGACATATTTGATTTGTGCTGCGGAAGTTCGGTTTAATGTAAATGTGGTCGGGTGTTCATTTTATACATTCGCGAATGTTGGCGATGGTGCTTTTATACTCGTACTACGTAAAGGAAAAGGAATCAGTTCATCTTCGGACGTTGTGAGCCGTCCGAAGACGCATTTCAGAGTTAATCACGCCTACGGGCTTAAAAAAAGTACAAAATAGCTCTGTGTTAAACTTTCGCTTAACTCGCCACGTGTTCTATTATAAGAAAATCTCGTTTATCTCGCGAATATGGTTTATGGTCTTATACCTTCTATTCAATTAGAAAGTGGACTATCTGGAGAAGGAACTGCCGCCAGTTTTTAAAGTGATAAAAAGAAAAGGAATGTGCAAATGTGTTTGTTGTTATTGTGTGTTTCCTTGCAGTCACAAATTAATGTAAGTGCATGAATATATTTTGGTTATTGTAATATCGCGTGCGCTTCCTATGCTGTAGAAATAAAATGCCAAATAAGTGTCAAATCAAAGTAATATTTGTATAGGTATAACAATATTATTCAAAATTTTGAAGATGAAATCGGTCTATAAGTGCGGTTAAAAAATACCACAGAAGATGCGACATAGTTGATTTGTATTTCTCATATTCAGCTTAAAGTAAATACATACGCAATTTCAGTGATGACGGATTTTCATTCCTCGTCGTGGTCAAAAAACGTGAAGGAGGACAAATGGAAAAATCGAGTGCTGTAACAATAAAGTATCGGTTGGATCTTTTGCAAACGATTATTTTGGTAAGTGATTTATTTGTGATTTACTACACCTTGTTTCAGTTTGAGAATTCCAATTGCGATTCATCACAATTCATTTGTAATTCGATCATATCATTTGAATTTCGAATTACTTCAATTGCAATTCAAAAAAATAGTGAAAATTTAATAATTCATTTGCAACTGATAACATATTTTTTGTAATTCTTAGTATTTCATTAATAATAAGAGCATTTGAATTTGAAATTAAATGTTATGTATTTGCAATAAAATGTTATGAATTATAAATAACAAATGGTATGTCATGAATTTTATTAAATGGTATGAATTATAAATGAATGAGTGAACAATAAAAGTACACTGTGCAAATTATATTTTGATACTACAGAAAAGATAGTACATTTCAACTTCTGCAAATACCATTGAATATATATTTTTTGCAAAATGAAGGCGAGTTAAGTTTTTTCATTGAAATTAAGGGCTTATTCAGATATTTCTTTATTGGAGACACTTTTTTATAATCGTCGACTATTTTTTTTAATGTGCTCATTATATTTATTGCAACCCATAGTTGGTTACCAAATAATGCAACCAACTCAATAAAATGGATTTGTTTTTCTTTATTAACGTCTATTTTTAGTTGATCTTCTTTTTAAAGTTATACAACTTTCGAAATATTACCATAGGCAAGGGAGAAATGAAAGTGTATTAAGTTGTTGCAAATGTTTAGAAAAATTTAGAAAGAAAGATGGCTTATTAAATACTATTTTTAAACATAAGTAAAAACTAATATTGCATTTGTTCTAGTACTGCAATTAATATTGCATTGCAGTTCTAGTTTCAAATGTTTTGAGCAGCACTGTATGCAAATTTTTTAATATTCCATTTTCAAAAAATCGGATTTTATGTTTTCGTGGTACGGCATCAGAAAAAAGTATTAAAATTACGTCTATCATATTGAACAAAAACGTTGATATATATCTTCCTTCGTAAAATAAAAAAATGAATATATTATAATAATCGCGAAAAAGGTACAAACAATTTCAGAAAAAAAATGTTTGGGGTTATTCTTTTATTTTACCCGAAGTTTATCTTCCAATCCTTGTATATTTTGGAAATATCATTTGACGGCTAAGATGTGTTGAAGTACCCAGAAATTCGTAAAACGCGAATTTCCGAAAAGTCCATATGCTTTTAACGCGCATCCGATTTCGGTGTGCACCCTAAAAATACATCGATCCATATTGACGGCTAAGATGTGTTGAAGTACCCTGAAATTCATAAAACGCGAATTTCCGAAAAGTCCATATGCTTTTAACGCGCATCCGATTTCGGTGTGCACCCTAAAAATACATCGATCTATACCTATTTCAATGCGGTCCATTAAGAACCATAGATAGTCCAGCTTTTTTTGAGATAAATTGGGTACATCTCTCTTTCGGCAGAAGTTGTTAAAGTTCCGTTTTCCCAAATGTTTAAAATCCGTATCAGGTCTTTTATTGAAACGAATATCCATGATCATTTGTGGTCTGTTTCCGTACTGCAATAATCTTTATGCTATCGAAGAAAATAGTAAAATCGAGTAGATTCTTACAGTACGGAAACAGACCACAAATGATCATGGACAGTGTTGCCAAAACTCTGTCGAGAAAAAATGCTAGAATTTGTTGAAAAAAATGCTAGAAAGTGCTAGAAATTTTAAAAAAGTGCCAGAAAAAAGTGCTAAAAAAAATTAAATGAACAAAATTGTTAATATGTAATAATGAAATATTCATCAGAGACCCCATTTATTCTTAAAGGCTACTCCTTGTCGATTTAGCCATGTCAATCCGATTGAGGTCGCAATATTGAAAACAGAGCTTTGGAATTTTTCCCATATATTGCACTACTCCTAGGACATTTGGTATTGGAAATTAAATATGTATATCGGTCTTTTTTGTGTACACCATGCCCAATATTTAATTTTTTTATGGTTTTGGGCACATTTTTCAATCTAATATGCGGTTTTGTTTTTCGGATTCTCCCTGTGTAGAAAGTCTTCTTACTAAAAATTATCAACATTGATCCACTATTAAGCGTAGCCCT